AGGGAGTGTATAATTATTATTACAGGACTGATCACTAATTCAGTCAGTTAAACACTGCAGTGCTCCAAGAAAGCACATATCTTAGCGGGCTCAACTGTCCAAGCAAATAATTTGGGGTTACTGAGTAACACTGAACGAAATGCACTTTCTACTAGTATAAGCTTAGGCCAGATAGGAAAGGAGCATAACTTTGGTCGAATTTGCATCTGCATTTTTAAAATCAGTTTCCTGCTGCTGTGATCCCCTCTGAACCGTTGTTTGGAGAAGATTCTTTTAAAGCAGCGGGGAGGCGCAATGACAGTGGAGAAGGTGATCAAGGTATGCGGGCCTGCAAAAGTATGCTAGCACTGTTGGGGTGTGAAAACGACACCAAATATAGGCAGCTTTTTTGAAGCGGGAGTCAGAAGGCTGGGGCGCCGGGTGGGAAAGACACAGGCAGATTGGACCTTAATCAGGTGGGGCACCGCCACCGACTGCCTGAAGGGGGACAAGGGGAAGAAACAAGACCGTGAATCAGCGGGACAAAAGCGCCTTGGAGGAGGACTCCTCCTCTTGGACCCTCTCCCCCCTTGAACCTCCTGCAGAAAGGGGGGGAAGCATAGGCGTAATCTTCGTGGGGGCGGTGGGGCGTTAGCGTCCGCTGAAATTTTCAGGAAGGTGCTCAGCCTCCCCCGGGAGCCACCCTTGCTCCTAGCAAAGCAATGCCTCTGGCCCAGCCCCAGCCCCCCCCCCCGGAAATTGGAAAGTCTACACCCCTGGGGGGAAGGGGGGGGAGCGGACCCACTTGTCATTCCAAGTCGCTCCCTACCCCGGAGTCTGCAGTGACGTGCACCGGTTTTCTTACTCTCTGCACAATGCAAGTCGCAGCACCCCTAAAGCTTCCACTTCCACTTCCACACACCCCAGGAGAGCATCCCCCCCGTCCCAGTCCCAGACACTGACAGCCGCAATCGCTCCCGGCGGCCCCGCCACCTGTCATGGTCCCATCGCGTCCTCAACGGGCAGAGGCGCCGCGAAGGGAACGGAGGTGACCCGGGGGGAGGGGGGGGGACCCGGGGACACACCTGAGCGTCACTTACCGCTCCCGGCGGGGCGCGAGGGGGGGGCTGTTCCTCCACCGGCGGCCGCCTGCAGGAGAAGGAGAGGCGGCGAGAGAGCGGGTGGCCCGCGCGCAATTGCGGCCCTGGGGAGAGCCGCGGCTGCCGGCTGGGTCCGGATTGGCTGAGCGGGCGAGCGAGCGAGCGGCGGGAGGGGCGCTGGGCAGGGAGGAAGGGCCGCGCGGGACGAAGGGGCTGGAGGAGGCGGCGGCCGCGTCGCCGGTGCAGAGGAGGGCGGCTGGGTCGTGAGCTGCTGGCATGAAAGTTGTGAGCGAGCAATTTGGCTCCTGCATGAATCAGTTTGCTCCGGAGCCCTCCTGCCTGAGCTAAGACGGAAATGTGTGAGCCGGAGGCTAAAAAACTGTGAGCTGGCTCACACTGACTCAGCTTAGAGGGAACACTGGTGGTGGTGGGGGGGGGGACAGACCCTGAAGCAACAGGGACAGAAACGAGTGGCCAAAATGACCATGCTGGCGGATGAGCTGTTCAGGCGACCCCCTCCCCACAAAGCAAGCAAGGGGAGTCCCCACCAGTGCTCCCTCTAAGCGGTGGAGTCCTGTGAGCAAGAATTCTACTTGGTGAGCTCCGAGCGCTTTGGCTGCTGCATCAATTAGTTTGCTCTGGAGCAATGCTCCCTCTAAGCTGCAGAGTCCTGTGAGCAAAAATCCTACTTTGTGAGCGACTGGCATGAAAGTTGCTCTGGAGCCCTCCTTCCTGAGCGAAGGCAGACATCTGTGAGCTGCGGGCAAAAAAAACGGTGAGCCGGCTCACACTCACTCAGCTTAGAGAGAACACTGGTCCCCACCAATGTTCCCTCTAAGCTGTGGAGCCCTGTGAGCAAAAATCCTACTTAGTGAGCTGCTGGCATTCAAGTTGTGAGCCAGCAATTTGGCTGCTGCATAAATTAGTTT